AAACCAGAGCATTGGGAAGGCTGTGCCGCCCTGCAAGGTAGAAACAAGGCTGTCCCTAAATCGGTACCTCCTCCTGAGGGCCCTCCATCAGTTCTGGCTTCCCAGCGTTTGGATGGGAATTTGCAGAGGACACTGGACACAGGAGCTGTGGGATGCCATGCAGTGTGTCCCTTCTTTGCAATCCTCCTTGGCTGGGCTCAGAGACATGCTCTGCCTGTCCTGCTTGGCCAGGCCGGGTCATGCAGGGAGACGGGTGGGAGGGAGGAGCTCCACAAGTCCATTGCAGTGGCCCCACTTTTACAGCCAATTAATAATGAACCACATTTGAGCAGGCTGCAAACCAAAGGTTAAAGCTTTGCTAGAGGAGGAAAACCCAGCGGGAGCAGGTGGCAGGAGAGCTGACTCCAGGTACTCTCAGTTATGCTGGCCCACAAGCAGATGGTACAGAAAGAGAGAGGCTCTGAATTAATGAATTCTGGGTTTATTTAAAGTAGGAGTCAAAAAACACTATGGAAAATTGACCTGAGGTGCATGTCCAGAGTTGGGATTTTCCCCTGTGTGTGTCTGTGGGGCTGCTCTAGGTTGTCACCTCCAGCGTGATGCAGTTCCAGCTCTATATTTATCACACGGGGAGATGAGCCCTGTCCTGCTTGTGTGTTAGACCTCCTGCTTCGTGGTTACTACCTGCCAAAGACAAGTGGGATGTTTATAAAAGAGAGCCATTTTTAGACCAGGAGGCCAGCTGCTGGCCACCTCCCCGTTATCTCTGGAGACACGGGCGGATGAACGCTGAACCCTTTCCCAACATCCTCAGCAGGCGGTGGGAAAGCAAAGAGGACTTTTCACCTTTAAACTTTTCCATGAAGCGTGCCCAGGTGACTTGAAGCAGTAAAAGCTGTTCCCAGCATGGGGTGTTTGAGGATGGTGCCAGCATCGCTCCCCAGCAGCCCATAGCTGGCATAGCTTGGCCATGTGGGGAGCTTACTGCTCCAGCCCCGGCTCCTGCAGCAGGCATACTGCCCCGTGCTCCTCCTCACAGCGTCTGTTTTGTCTACAGGCTAATATTTTCCATTCAGTGCATCCAAAAAAACACAGCCCAGCTGGGCTGGAGAGTCCTTTGAACCTTGACACCCCAGGGCTGCAAACATCCCCTTCTCCAGCAGAGACCTGCAGCCAGGGCTCTGCACTCCCCACTATGAGATCCCACAGCTGGTAATGGGGTTTTTTTGTCCCCTCTAATGCTGGCTCCTCTGAGTGGCTGGATGCTAGGAAGAAAGGATTGTGCTTTGCCAATGTCCAGGCCCACGATCTGGGATGATGCCCCATCCAGCCATGGAGCTGCCAGGTCTCTGCACTGGCAACCAGGGAAGTAAGCAAAGGATGTGTTTGCCATCCATCCCATGTGTTAAGTACAAACCACCCGACTGGAGTTGTGTGCCTCTCTTTGAAATGGTTGGTGGACAGGGAAGATATAATCTGAGGCTGGCTCCAGACTGTTTTGCCTCCCCAGGGCTGTATTCCATGGTGTATTTTCAGCAAGCACAGTTTAGCACACAGGAAGGTTTCCCAACAGGCTCCCCCTCACCTCTCCCTCATCCACCTCGGTTATTGCACCGGGGCTGCTGCATGGGGGCACTGCACTTGTGCTGACCCAGCAGCAGGGCTTCTGGTGGCCAGCCAGAGGAAAAGGCTGGGAAACTCATGGCCCCTCAATGTTCTGAGAAGAAGAGAGGAGGAAGAAAAATGAAGATGTGCCAGGGAAGCAAAACTACAGTGGGGAGGCATGTTTGTATAAATAAAACTAATTGCTCAGCCTGGCAGTGACTCTGGTTTTGCTGTTTATATCTTTTCTTTCCAGGTTCTGCCTATCCCAGATCGCAGGTGCAGCACAGCTTCCTGCAAAAAGCCACAGAGCAGACCAGCAGCAATAGAAGAAACTTCACCAAATGCCTCTCCCATGCCTCTGGAAGAGTTGCATGGCACAACCTTGACACAGGCAGCAGAGACCTTGCAGCACAGCTGGGAAGCTGGCAAGCACAGCAGCAGCTCCTGCTCCTCCCCAAAAGCTCACATAGAAATTCCAGCCCTGATTCTGCACAGGATGTGTGGGATCCTGACTAACACACCTTGCATAACCGTGACTGGGAAATCGCCCCATCATGCGAGGGAAAGCACAGCAAAAACACAGATGGAGGCTGAAAATAAGGAGCTGGGATCATTTTGCCGGCTAGCTGTAGGAGTGGCTCTCAAATTCCTTCCGAAGGCCGATGGTGTTAATGCATGCCTTAATGATCTGGAAAAGAGGTGAGCAGTGAGGTGGCAAATCTGCAGATGGCCCCAAATTGTCACAGTTGCTTGGGATGAGACTGCAAAGATCATTTTTATGGCAAGTCCCCTGCCCAGGACCTCGACTGCCGATTTGGGGTGGGACTGGAGGGGTCCCAGCCATTCGAGGCTCGCTGCTGGCACTCTGAATCCTGGCTACAGCACACAAGGCAGCAAAGCTTCAGATCCTCACGGACAGTCCATGTCGTTCACATAGCTCCCAAAATAAAGCCTGTGAAAGCAAATTTTGGAGTCACCTAGCAGCCGGAGAGCGTACACCTTGAGAGGCAGTGCAAGCAGTGTGACAGGCAGCTGTGCAGACAGACAGACAACCGGGAAGGAAGAGATGGGGAAGGTTTTCCTGAGGCATAGCCTCTCCAACTAAGGTCTGAACGAGGGGAGACTCCCATTCTCTTATGTCCTTAATTCTGCCCCAATAAATCTACCCCTCACTCCAAACAAAACCATAAAAGGCTGCTGCTCTTTTTTTTTTTAAAAAAAAGGGAAAGGGAAAGGGAAAGGGAAAGGGAAAGGGAAAGGGAAAGGGAAAGGACACAAATCCTGAGGGAAATGGCATCATAAGCCACTTCTTTCTTGGACCAGAAAACAATAGCTTTGTGTTGAGCCTCTGTTTCATCCATGAACAGGCTTAAATGAGCTACACAGAACAAGACACCAACATCCCCACATTTCCTAAAGATCTTGGTCAACCTGCCCTAAATTTGGGACCTGACTGACCCGAAAGATACCAACCGAAAACCCAATTTCAATGGGCTTAAATGTGACCTCAGCAGCACATGAGGCCAATGGACCAGAGTGTTTTATACAGTGGTCTGGATAGCTGTGGAAAACACTAAAACTGGGTCTCATTGCACTTTTAACTTGATTAAAGATGTTACAGTGTGTGAGCTAAGAAGCTGTGCTGAATCAAACCTAGGAAAAGCAGGCTGTAATGCCGTGGTCGGTGTGTTAGACAGTGTTATCTTGTACATGGTGGGGAGCTGTCAAAACTCAGGAAGATGAATTGTGTCTAACTTCAAAAAGCATGCCTCACCTTCACATTTTCACATATATAATAGTGTTGTGGCAGCAGCAGTGAAGTGATAAAGCCAAGTCTCAAGGTAGCTCAGCAGGAATGAATAAATCTTCATAATTGACAAGCTGTAATAATAATAAATACTTGAAGAGTTTATTTCTCCCTCTATCCAGTTAGAAAATGACTACATGGGAATCCTTGCCAGCAATTGGGGCTCTTCTAAATAATTACCAAGTCAATTCACAGCCTCTGCCAGATCCAGCATTTCAATAATTAAAAAGGTACCACTTGTAGCTAATGGTAAAGAGAACAGATGTTTCCCCTCAGAAGATTTTTCCTTCTTCTTTCCCATCATTTCCACTCCCTTAAGCCATCCTGTGTCTGAGTATCTCCCAGTTATGCTGGCACACCCATTCCAGCAGGTTCCAGAGGCAAAGTCCTGCGCCCTGGAGCATGTGAGGTTCGTCCCTGCAGAAGCAGAGCTGGGTTTCTTGCAGTGAAGGTGATCGCTGTTGTTGGCTGCAGGGTGAAGCAGTGGCATGTTCTCAGGAAGTTGGCTTAATGCCCTTATGCATTTTCCTGCTGGCACCCACCAACTGAATGCCAGGCAGGATGAAACACACAGCCACGTGCCCAGGCTGGCCAGGGGAGGAACCTTCAAGGCTTTCCCCATCTCAGTGTGGAGGCTGCTCATATACAAAATGGTGATTTGCTGTTCACTAAAGGTTTGTACCCTACCCTTAGCCCTGGCACTGGACTAGTCTGTGCATAACCTCCATGTTCCCCAAGCTTGAATTTTGAGGATTGTTCTTCCAGGCATGAAATTATCTGCTCAATGGTGTTGTTTTGCTTTCCTCTGACATTACAGCTCTTCTGTGGCCCAGTTTGCTTTGCTTGCTACTACAACTACACATAACAAGCTATGTTATGAGCACTCAATAAATGCTTCAGTCATCTTGAGGTGAGGTGCGAAAAAGGAAAGCATATTTTTTTGTTTCTTTGAGGCTTAAAAGATGCTTAATCTAGAACAGAAGCTCCAAAGGCAGCATTTTTGCTGCTTAAAATTTGTGGTTTATTCTGTGAAATTGTATTGTTGTTGTTTGCTAGCATTTGATGTAGTAAACATGACCTACATCCGGAATGCTGCAGGTCATTAAAGGATGTTGACAACAAAACTGCAAGCATTTGCCACCTTTAGAAGGTTTCTTTCCACCCAAAGTTTAAAATTTGGTAGGTTAAGGTTAAGATAACCAGTACTATTCTGGATTTGCACAGAAGATAAACAGAGTTGCTGGGTTTGGTCTCTGTAAAGCTCAGTCCTTGTGCATCTGACAGACAGCAGCATGGTAGTGCCGTGGATAGTTTCATACTTAGTTGAACTCTTGGTGTCTCTAATCTCTCCATTTGTGCACAGCTCATGGGACACAGGTGGGTTATCTGCTCTGGGTGCAAATATAAGCAGGTTCAAATTTAAGCTGTCCTAAGTTAGTCTTGAGCTGGAGTAGTTAAGGCACATAAGGAGATGGCTAAGCTAACCTGACCTTCAACAATTCTTCACTCCACATCACAGACATGCATTTATAGAAAGACAGACAGGGGAGGTGAAGGCACAAATGAAGCACAGCACCTAAAAGCCCATAAAGCCAGACCTATAAAGTGCATCATGAACCCCTCTGTACAAATACTGCAGTACACAGGTGAAAGCAGCATTTCAAGGATTTCACTCAGACTAAGATCCCTTTCAAAGTAGGCTAAGTATTGGCAGCTACAGCCAAAATGTTATGCTGCTCTGGGCACACGATTTCTCAAGGTCCTCTTGGGGTGGGCAGTGATCAAAGGGACAGCAATGGCAGCCAGTGACACACCTTGGGCCACAATGGGTGACCAGACATGGAATGAGATCTGGCAGAGAGTAAAGCAGAAAGACAGTAATTGGCAATGTGCAGGGGATGGAGGGGGACAATGGGCCCAAGGAGTCAGAAAGGGGGCACAACAGCCTCTCCCCCATGGTGACTGGACACCAGCTCCACAGACAGTCAGTGGTGCCCACGTTAGGCTGACTGGCTGTGCGGCATGAGGAGTACCAGGGCTGGGAAGCAACCCCATTGCCTGGCCCCAGACTATGGCACAGGAACACTGAGTGGGCCCAGGACCCTCATCCACAGCTTGTGAGACCTGACAATTTAGCTGAGCTTCCCTCGGCAGACCCTGGCCTGATCAGGTCCTGTTTGACCTCCAGGTAAAGCAGTAGAGACATTTGCATCCTTCCTAAGGCAATCAGGGCTGGGCGAGGCAGGAATATCCTCATTTCCCTTTCATTGTCCAAATATCCTTTGCCTTGGAGGGGTTGCACAACTTCTGCCTGCCGGGATAGCTGGACAATATCCATCAGCCTGCTTTGCAAGAAGCATTTCTAAAGGCAGGCATGTGACATAGGTGCTCATATCATCTTACAAGTCAAGAGGACTTGTGCTCCTTTGAAGATTTTCAGTCCACATGAGCCAAGAACTTTAAATATTTTGAAAGCCACTGGAGAGACACATAAATATTTGGTTAGGGTCCATCCTATTTTAGACAAATAAAACTACCTACAGGAACCCTCAAAGATGCTCACATCACGCCAAGGATCATGGTGGGGCTGATGTCTCCTCCGAAGGTTGCTTGTTTGATCTGTTCACTGTTCTCATCTCTCTTCCCTCCTACTCTTTGGCTCCTGCAGAGAAAAGTGGTGACATGATTTATAGATGTATTCTGAGGCATTTGAATACCTTGTTCCTGCAACCTGCTCTGACAACTGCTGTGCCGAGGGCTCCCAGAACAAAGGCTCGGGACGAATGAATCCTTGTCTTCACTCACAAGAAAGGTTTAAAAAAGAATCACCTCCTTCTTCTATTATTTCCTTGTCTTGTTATTTTAATTTTTTCCCCTGTGCAGACAGCAACATTAAGCCCACTAGAGAATGAATGAATATCAATGAGACAGGGCAAAGATGGAATATGCAGCAGCTCTCTCCCAAACTTATAATGAAAATGCCTACAGGGAGGCGGTATTGCAGCAGATAACACACACGCTCTCACACCCACTGTTTTTGGGAAACATCCACATTTACTGGAAAATGTCTCATGTCTCCTAAGTGGGCAAGTTTCCAATTGTCCGCTCAAGTTTGTGGTGCACCCACTCTTCTAGCAATTTCAAATAGGAATTCAATTACAAATGGAGGTGCAGCCAGAGCCCAGAGATGCAACAGGCTGGGAACACTAGAAAGTTAGATACAGACTTTGCTGTAAATTCCCACATCAGGGACTGTTTCTAATCATAAATTATGTTGCTCAGGAATTAAATTAATCGGTTTCTTGCTGGCAGTGATAAAAGATGTGTTTCTGACAGAAAACAGAGTGTTAGAGGACAGTGTCTGTAAGCAGTGCACCAGCTAAATCCTCCCTTCAAAACTTCCTGAGTCCAGCCCTTTGCCCAGGGTGCCATTCAGCAGCACCCCTTCCTGCTGTAGCTGTGGGATGCCCTCACAGCTATTTGGTCTTTTTGAAACTCAGGAGGGAACAGAGGCTTTTATTGAGAAAGCGATTCAAGCCCAAAGCTGGTTCACAAAACAGCTGTCTGCAGCAGGAGCTGGTGGCTCCCCAGATAATTTCTGAGCACCCCTAGATCCTTCCTTTCCACAGGCCCCCAAAAGAGGGGAACAGCAACTGGGTGTTACAGGACTTGTTTCCTTTACAAGGCTGCCCAGGCACTATCTAGTTCGGGTGACTTTCATGGTCTTGGGTAAATGAGAAGCAGCAAAGGCCCGGCAAGGAGCAGATCAGAAAGCAGCATTTTCCATGAAGCTGTGAGCAAACAACACCAACCCTGCCCTTCCTCTGCCAAAACACTCAAAAAATAGCCAGCTTTAAAAGGAAATTATAGTTAAAAGCCAGTTGATACCACAGGTTTTTGAAAAATGTTAGTGATAAGCTTTTCTCCTTTCTGAACTGCGCAATCACCGGAGAGCCAAGAAGTGTTTTGTTGGGGTTTTATTTTATATGATAAAAAACTCAATGCTGCCCTCTTTCAGAAATGCAGCAGTACTGGTCTTCAACTGCTCGTCCTTAATTAAAAAGTACTGTGTGTTCTTTCCATGGCACAGCTTTTGACCATAAATCCCCTCATCCCATCTGAGCGAGAAGGCGATCCGATTGCCGCCCACTGCTCGGTTTCGTGTGCTAAACATCTGACGGTGATAAATAATGCACCTCAACGGCTCAGCTATTTACAGAGATGGCTCAGCTAAGGATGACTTCATGAAAACAAGATCTATTATTGCCCAGGTAGAAAAAAGGGAAATAGTGCAGTTACTGCTTGTGTTTAGTGCAGTTTAAGTGGAAGAATATATGGGTGCTCTGTTAAATGCTGATTAATCTACGGTGTAAGGTGACTTCCCTGTTCATGAAGGCCAAGTTGAAGACAAGCCCCCCAGATACACTGGGAGAAAAACACCCCTACGGTCTGGCACTGCCCCTCCCCAGCTGCTCAGTCCTGTGCTGTGTGGGTAAAATGTGTGTATGGTCTGTGTCGCCTGCCCGGGGTGCAGGGCTCGTGCAGCCTGGACCTCTGCCCAAGCCTGGGTTTAACACACCAGGAGAAGTGACTGCTCAAAAGGGAAAAATTACAGCTCTTACCTATGTACCTTGTCAAATGAAAGGCTAAATCCAGAGTTGTTTGGTCCCAGCACACTGTGCTGTAGCAGAGCAATCTAAAAAGATTGTGGTGACAGAGGACACTGCCTGGCTAAGCTCCCTCTCAGCAGTGGCTGGTGAGATTTACACTTTGCAGACTTACAGACTGCTGCCTGTAGCTCCCAGTGAGTGGGATGTATGTGCTGGGCAGCCCACAGCTTCCCTCCCTGAGCACCAAGACAGCTTTTCTATGGCACCATGTCCCATAGGTTTATGAGGTCATCTCTATAGTGCCTGACAGCTGTGGAGGGGACCAAGGGGGTGATGAGAGCCTCCCTTGTCCTTACACCCCATTATGTGTCACCTTTGCACTCCTGGGGTCACCACCATGTGGTCCCTGATAGCAGATGTTACGATGGAGCCCACTCTGAGCTCAGCCAGCCTGCAGCCAAAGCAGGGCGGCCCTCAAAGGCCACTTAGGACAGGACAGCCACCCTCTCCAGTGTGGTTTGGCAAGGCCAGCAGCAGAGGGAAAGAAATCTGCTCTTGTAAAACACCATGTTTGGTTGGTAGCCACAAGCACAAAGCACCAGGTTGCACTGCTTTGCAGACAAGTGCTGTCCTTGAGAAGGTGCAGAGGTCTGGGATGAATTTTCCTGCCTGAAGATATCACTTGGTTTCACAATGAGTCACTGAAACCTGAGAAAAGCAATTCACCAAGGAAATCAGAAGGAGTAATTAAGAGAACATAGTAATTTAAAATGTATCCTAAGAGATTCTGTACGTGACATCCACACCAGATGGAGAAGCATGCCTTTATCCACCCTAGGTTACACCAAGTCTGGGGAAAGCTGCAGCCACAAAGTCACCATGGTTACAGATGCACAAAACTGAGAGTGATGAGATGTCCTATTCTGACACAGCCACATTGTTCATCTTCAAGATGCAACTATTAAAGTGACCCTGGATTGTGCAATTTAAAAAGAAAGAACCACAGAAAGTTCTAATATATTCAGGAATATGAAAGTAGACAGATTAGAGATTTTAATATATGCACATTGTTCAGGGTGTGCAGAGGAATATATAATATGTTATTGGACTGTAAATTGAGGCACTCATTATGCAGCCTTCATTCTGTGTCCAAAACTTCTGCTTAGATTTGTTTATATCACCTTCTGTCCTAGAGATGGCTGCATTTAACACACTGATGTATTATGTGTCTATTTGCATGCATGCATACTAAGATGTAGTTGTAATACATCATAAGGCCTGCGTACTAATTATCACATGCTAATGTAGCAAATTAACCATGCATTAGTTTCCATCAAAAGCAGATTTCCTTTGCATACAAGGTGCCAGATACAACTTCATGCGGCCTGATCAGAGTGATGCATAATAACCACTTGAATACACTTTCCATGCTACTTTGCTGACATAAATCCAGTGATAAAAGCTTAAGAAGCCACCGAAGGTTTTAACTTCACAGTGTTTACTGCTCATGATAAGGAAACTGGATTTTACTTTCTGAATGTATTCCCAAGGGCACACTGATACACAGTGTTTTTTGGGTAGTGGTAATAGTAAAATCCAAACTCACTTTTTGGATTTCTTAAGGTGTCTTGTTATTTTTGCAAATGCTCTCTTCGTTGGATGCTGACAGGCTGCCACAGCAAACTTAGCAGGAAGTTCCCTTGACTCTCTAAGTGAGTCTATAGGCAGGAAGAAGCTGTTTGGAAATGCAGGCTGTGTTTACAGTAGGAAGTAACTCATCTAAGGGTAGCATCAGAGCCAGGTCCTGTCTCTTGCCCTGAGGCTCACAGTCCACAGGACTCTATTATAGAAATTCCTCAACCTGATCACCAGAAAGGAAACAGCTTTCCTGTGGCTGAGGAGGCTGTTCTTTCCTCCTAGACCGTGGATACGTGTGTGACAAGCAAATGACATACTCATCCTTGTATTTTTTTGCACAGATGTGGCTCCTAGGATGATTTAAGGCTTGCTGAAGGTGTGTGGATGGAAGTACAGCAATTTCCACTGAGCCACAGAGTCACCTGCACCTCACAGGAAGTTTACTGGAGTGCTCTTCTGAGCCAAGGCCAGCTCTCAGTGGATGCAACAGAATGGATGTCTTTGTTCCTGGGAAGATGAGGAAACTAAGCAGCAGTCTTTTTGCTCAAATATCTGAGCTTTATTTTAATTTTAAAATTACAAGTTTGTGATTCCTAGGCTACAGACACTCAGTATAAAATATAAAATGTTTTTCCTTGGAAGCACTGGAAACACCTGCTCTATATATAATAATGAAACATAACACAGAGCGACCCAAGTTTCAAACACCAAATTTTGGTGAAGCTGTTACAAGTAGTGGTTCATAGGCAATGAAATTGCTGTCAGCATTTGGCTGTAAAGGATTATAACTGCTGGGCTGGTAAGAGGACTCAGGCATTATAGAAACCCTAATTAAAAGGAAGTAATTTGCCTACCTGTACATGCTTACACCCGTAGTCATGTCACTTCCACCTCGTCTCAATTTCCCTCCAAGTGAAGTGACCATGTAATATCGACCATGATGTGGGTCTGCAAACACCTTGGTGTGAGCTGTGCTCATGGTGCTCCTGCAGCTCCCAGGCAGCCCATACCCACAGCTCCCTTGGCCTGGATGAAACAATCCATAGGCTTTTGTGGCAGCTGACATGCCAAATTTTAACTTTTAGCTACTGAGACTACTTCATCCTAAAAATACAAGATCTTCAAACCAGGCTTTTCCCAAAATCTGATTTTTTCTGAGCAGTTACTTTCCTCCATGTTATGTACTTAATTGTCTGGAGTCTCAAGCTGCCTGTTTGTGCTCCTCACAAGTGTTCTTGCTGTTATTCCATTACTGGAATTGCCAGCTCTTTGAGACATCTCCTTCCCCTGGAACTGTTCAAATATCAGTAGGGGGCATTATTGTCTGAGGCTGCCTGGTCTGAGAGTGCTGCCTGTGGTTCCTTATTCCATTCCTTATTCTGCATGAAGACTGTCCTTGAGCAGATGGTTGCTAGAAAACTCAGACCACTTTGGTGGGTAATCCTACAGGAGTTATTGATCCTAGAACCAAAGCCACAGTTGAAAGGCTCAGACTATAACTGTCCTAGTCACACATTACATCTCCTACCTATCTGAAGAAATGTTCCCTAGCATAAATTTGTCCATATGTTTACAAATGGACAGCACATGCTGTTCACAGATGTTTACAGCTCAGAGGAGTTTGCATGGACCTTCTTTACAAGGCAGAATATCACTGTGTCTTGTAAAAGGGAACAGAAGAGGAATACAAGCTAGACTCAAAGTTGGAACCATGCCTTGAGGTTTCCACTCTTCTGGAAGAGTGGTATTTTGCAATCTTACATTTTTAACAGTTTATTAAAAGACCCCAGATCCCTTTCACCTCTAAATTTTCCGAATGTGTCAGCACTCCTCTGGTCTGATTTTCTTTTAATCTTTGATTTTGGAACTAGTAAAGTTGTGTTCAAACATGACCTACAGCAGTGCTCTGCCATGAGCTTGTGTTTGTGCTCTGGATCCAATTCATCCATGTAGAGAGGAACCAGCAGAGGGATCGACGTGCTGCTAACACCCTGAAAATAGGACTTACAGAGACTCTGTGCATACTTTGGTCTTGAGACTGCTAAAGGGAGTGAATTTCAGCTCAAAATTTGACTTCATCTTCAAGCTACAATGTGATTTTCACGCCTGGGCTCTGCTTACTAAAGATTTCTATTACAGCCCTAGGACAAAAATGCTAATCCAATAGCTTTCATCTTTCCAGCGTCTCTGACCCGTCTCACTCCCCAGCCACATTCTGGAGTATGCTCTGGATATGAGGATATGCTGCAAGAAAGGCTGAACCGATAGCCTGATGCTTCTTTAAGCAGTTGTGTCTTTAGTCACCAGCCACTATGAAAGAGTTGGATTCATTTTTATTGTGTAGCCTTCTCTGTGGAATATTACCGTTATCCGCCCAAAGAGAGAGCAAAAGCTCCTCCTTTCTTCCATCCCTGCTCCAGTTCTCAGGTGAGACCCATCAGATCTGTGCTGTACACAGTGAGAAAATGCAGAGGATTATTCTGTCCCCTGAACTGAATGTAATTGGGGTTGCAGCTGCATCTGAGTTAGCACAGGAATTGCCATGAGGAGCAACCCCTCAGACCATCTGACCCAGTGTTCTTCACAGGAGAGTGCCAACACCATCTGACTTGGAAAAAGAAACAAGAAAACCTAATAGTGCTGCTACAAAGGTTAGCTTTGGTCTGGGACCATGAGGACTGGCAGCTTCTAAATGCTTTGAATAGTGCATTGCTGGTGAATATAACTCTTGGCTGCTCCAGCTCTCCATATGGCAGCAGCTTCTTTCAGACCTGCAATAAAGAAAGACAATGGTAAAGACTAGGAAATACCAGAAAGCTGCAAAGAATTCACACATTTAAATCAAGCTTAAGTGAAAGACACAATTTCCAAAGTTTGCATATTTACTGTATTGTCTGCATCCCATACCAAGAATTACTCATTCCTGGCAGCATTTTTGCCTGTAAAACACAGTAATTGCAATTACACTTCCTAAAAAAAGCACAGCACTTTACCTTAAACAGCACAATGCCTTTTGCCAGACTCACCTGCAAGGAAATCTTGATGAAATGCTTGAGAAGTCACAGCAGACATCAGGTCTCACTTCAGTGTAAGCATTCCTTCACGTGACACATATTGTTGTGTGTGGAAAGGAAGATAAAAGCCCTTTCACCACTGGCTGCTACTCTACAAGCTAATCACTACGCTAATGTGCAGATGTTCTTTTGATACAACCTTTTTCATACTCCACACAGCAGGTTATTTAGGTTTTCTGTGAAGAAAATGGAAAGAGACCCAGTGGGTGACTGGAGTACTGCATGTTTATTATTATCCACCTCGCTCATCATAACATCGTATGAGTCGATGAGCCTGTGATTTCTTTTTTTTTTTAACCTCTAATGCAGTCACTAGGAGTTGCTGCTGCAGTCTCGCTGCCTGTGGAAAATTAAAGGAAAATTAAAGGATTGAGAAGTGGGGACAGATTTAAAATCTACTATTTAAACACGAGTGGTACAAGAGCTTAATTTTCTATATCATTTCAGGCATGAAGCAGAAGGTGACCCCGTTGAAATAATTTTAATACTATAAATGAGAGGGGATGTGT